TATATTTAAATGAGAGCATAAAACATACGTTAGGGTTCAATATATATGAACTGTTATTTAGGACATTTCTAGGCATTACTGAATTCCCTGATGTCTCTTAGAAACAAAAATGTCTGTTTCTAATAAACTTATTGGTATAAATGCCAAATGAAATAAAATGTCACAGGCAAGACACAGAACTGATTGAAGTGTTTGTTGACTATTTTACCAGTTGTTTTTCCATCTCTGGTGTTGCTTCTATTAATGAAGAACATGTGTCCTCTCACATTAATTGTGGAAAGCTTTAATTGTGGAAATCAGAGGTAGAAATAGCACAAAGATGAACCCCTGGGCATGGATTCCCTCTCCGTTGTTTATCAGCATAACCTTGTCTGGATTTCCTCTCTTCTCTCCATGGTGGCTATTGCAAAGTGGACAGTGACTATCCCACCATAGAATCATGGAGTTTTCTTTTACAATCTTAAGTCTATCAGGATCATTCAGCTGCAAGTAACGTAATTTTTAACCAAAAGAGACTCAAAAATAAAGGACTTTAGTTTTCCTACAGAGTGAGAAGTCAGGGAATAGGTGGTTCTAAATTTGGTAAAGAAGCCCCAAGTTCATATCAAGGAACTAGAGTTTCCTATCTTTCTTCTTTGCCATCCTCAACTTGATGTTGGGTTCTTAAACTATAAGATGGCTGCACTGAGGAAGCATTATGGCCTCGTGATACCATGTTTGATTAGGAGAGTGGGCTGGGGAAAAGGGTTTTTCTTGTTTCAGGAAGACAGATTTCTCCCAGAGGCTCATTATTAGGCATCACTTCATGACTCATTGGCAAGAACAGGATCACATGTCCCCCCCATTCGTATCCCCATAGCTGCACAGAATATTGGCCAAATGATTAACTAGCAAAGGAGAACACTATTGCTGTGATTGGATTAGACAACCAGAGTCATCTCCTGGGGTTGGGCATATTAATACCCCCCCGTCGTCATTATGATTCCTTTGGCAAGGAAGAAGTGGGGAAGGCTGTTGAGTAATTAAGTTTTGCCAGTTTCCCAGCTGTGATTTCCATAATATCTCCCTCTATCTGGTATGACTCAGCAATGGGAGTCTTTTGGATGTGCACCTTGGGTTCTAGCCCTCCACTCAAAAAACCTCCTCATTATTGATTCAGAGAGAAAAGCAGGTCTAACTCATCATTCTATAGCTTCTCACATAATTCATAACTTCATATTTATGTGCTCTCTCAGCTCATTTTTTTTAAAACCCAAGAGGTTCTAGTTTTAAAATGTGCCTTTGTCTCCCCCCACTCCCCATCCCCAACTATGGCTGCTTCTGTTTGGGTACAAAATAAAAGGGAGAAAAAGTCTGTGTATCTGGTTACTTTTGGTTATCTCCTCTAATTTCAGGACCATAAGCCTCTGCCAGGAGATAGTTTGTGATGTAGGTCATCTATATTCTCTTGTTTCTACTTTTGAACACTCTGCTGGCTGTTCCATCTTTCCCATGAATGTTTAATATGTATAATGATCCTGCCAGAATTGATTTTTCATTATAGAGGCCATTTTCCAAAGAGGTTTGTCACTATTTTTAAAATAGTATTTTAGCATGTTTATAAAAAACAGTTCTAAACTCAATTTTGTGTAACAGTTTCTTCACGGATAGAAGGGATTTTTTTAAAAGGCATTTTACATTATTCTTATGTTACTGATAAGTTGGAAGGTATGACACTAGCCATTTAGATTTTAGTTACATTTTTAACAATTGGTTTATAAACAATTGGAAATAACTGGTAAATTATTCATGTTCAAGGGTGTTATGTAATCTTTCCAAATCAGTAATTAGCCACCAACATACTACATTCCATCTAGTGACCAATCCTGAATATACTTGTGATCCAAAATGAAGAAAAATGTGATGTAAATAAAAATGAATGTCTTAGGGGCACCTGGGTGGCTCAGTTAGTTGGGTGTCTGCCTTTGGCTCAGGTCATGATCCCAGGGTCCTGGGATCGAGTCCTGCATCGGGCTCCCTGCTCAGCGGGAGTCTGCTTCTCCCTCTGCTTCTCTCTCTGTGCTCTCTCTCTCCTCTCTCAAATAAAATCTTTAAAAAAATGAATGTCTTAGTTTTGAAATGGGTGATTCTTTTACTATTTTTATATTAGAGGTCTTTCTTATTTGGATTTTAATTGCTCTTTTTCTCCCACCATTTATTTATCTTCAGTTTGACCATTGCTAAATGAGTAATTGGCTTTCATATTGAGTTATTCCCTTTGTTTTGACCACCTGAAATCAGGTATAGGTGTCACAGTGACTTCTTAATAGGGAGATCTTAGAGAGAATATGACTATAGAGGAAGAGCCCAATTGCCCTCTCTGATGACTTAATATTTTAAAAAATTAAGGCTTTTTTAGTATGAGGAGGCATCTTTATCCCCGATTTCTCCACACACCTACCCACCCTCCACACACAAAGTTCAAAAAGACTTACAGAAAGATAGCAGTTATGCTTTCTTGGATCCTAAATCTTGCCTGAAGATTTTTATAATGAAATGGAGGGAAAAAATAAGTCATTATTTCTTTGCTTCATGTTTTTGAGAGCCATGTATCCCAAGATATCATAGAACTTAACAAAATAGCTTGGATACTGATTGAAAAGGCAGACTCAGAGTCTAGAAATGCAAAATAACAGCCCATATGCCAAACCACATGCATTGTAAGGCTTGGTACTTCTGAGGGAAGATTTAAAAGGCGACAAAGAATTCCAAATTTGGAACCCACAGAGACATCTGGTATCTTAGAACTTTCCACTTTCCCTTGGCAGATATTTCAGCTAATTTTCCCACCTTGGTCAGAGTGTATAATTCTTTCTTAAGCTTATTTTAATTTTAACATATTCTCTCTATTCAACTGTTACTGTGAAATGGCCCTACTCTCAGGACCAGCCATTTAATTTTAGCACTTAGATCATTTAGCAATTCCTTAGAGGAACAAAAATAAGGGGGTGGGATTTAATTAACATAATGGGTACATCATCAACTTTTTTGGTGGCATTTATGTATATTTCCAACACTTGGTCATCAAGCAGATGCATGTAAAAAAAAAAAAAAAGACAGATGAATCAAAATGTAGAAAAAGCACTGCATTTCAGACGGTGATTTTCATCATCAGTGTGCATGTGGTGGCTCTTCAGTTTCAAGTAGATATTTCCAAAACTATCCTGAAAGGTATCCTCATTTTGTTGTGTGCTTCTTATAAACCAGTTGCTAGTAGCTGATCTGTGTCTACTTGAAGAATTCATTAGTTGGGTCCACATTTGCCCAGTGTGGATGGTGGAATGGGAAGGGGACTTGAGATTAATGAGGCTTTGGGACAATTACTATGAAGAATGTACTAAGGGGTACATGTAAGGATTATTGAGTAGCAATGAGGACTTAGTTGAAACTGAATAGTATGAATATTGAGTAGTGTAGACCATCCCTATTTAATGACACTCAGTAACAGTATCATAGAATTGTGTTTATTTTATTTTATTTTTAAGATTTTATTTATTTATTTGAGAGAAAGAGAAACCACATGAGAGGGGGGAGGGTCAGAGGGCGAAGCAGACTCCCCGCCAAGCGGGGAGCCCGATGCGGGACTCGATCCAGGGACTCCAGGATCATGACCTGAGCTGAAGGCAGTCGCTTAACCAACTGAGCCACCCAGGCGCCCAAGAATTGTGTTTATTTTAGAGTTGAAAAGGACCATCTTATTGAAATTTTCAACTGACAGATGAGGAAACTGAGGCATAAAGAAACTAAACAAGTTGCCTGGGTCTACAAAACAAATGGCAGAGCAATTCTAACTCCTGGACCAGATCCAAAGATAGTATTTATAGGGATTTCAAAGTATGACTAACTTTAAAATAATTGAATTTTAGAATTTTCCATGGATTCTCTCTCTCTCCCTCTCCTGTCAAAGAAAAGATCTTGCTAGAATTTGATCAAAATAATTTCTTGTCTTTGTGGTGCCATTTCTTGAATTACTGTGTCAAGTCTTATCAGAAGCAAGAGAAAATGGCAAACATGGGAATGTATGTACCATCGATGCACCTGACCAAAGATTTACAATTAGTAGATGGTCTCTCTCTCTTTTTTTTTAAGATTTTATTTATTTATTTCAGAGAGAGAATGAGAACACAAGCAGGGTGAGTGGCAGAGGGAGAGGGAGAAGCAGGCTCCCCACTGAGCAGGGAGCCTAATGTGGGGCTTAATCCCAGGACCCTGGGATTATGACCTGAGCTGAAGGCAGATGCTTAACTGACTGAGCCAGCCAGGTGCCCCGATTGTCTCTTATTTTTAATACCTATGTCTATATTTATCTATCAATTGATTAATTTTATCATGTTCTAAATTCATTTTTAAAAACTTGTCACTTTTCTGAGAATATTTGAAGAAATGGAATGAAAAGTAAGTAGTGCCAGAACTCCTGATGGACCCCTAATTACCATCAATGCCACTTACATAGCTGCAATACCATTGAATGTGTGCCCCCTTCATACTTTAAGATCATGGGTCTAGCCTGGTGGACATTAGAAACTGTCTAGTGTGGTTGACCCTTTGATATGAAATCTAGTCCATTTTCTAAAATGGGATATGCTCTAGGTTAAAGTACAAACGGTGATGGGTAATCAATGCTACATTAAGATATGACTTAGAGACTCTCTTGTAATGACACTTAATAACATGGAGGGATGTTTTAAGTGTGAAAAATACTTCTTAAAATAGATATTCCCCCTTTCAAGTTATTAGTCATTATTTTGGGGGTATTGAGATTATAATCATTTAGATATATTTTGTGTGTATATTTCAAAATTTCTACAAAAATCAGTCATATTTTAAACAAGAAAAGCATAAATATTCTTTTCATTAAAAGAATAACCAAGTAAGTAGAAAAATTAAAGTGTATAAAAGGAAATCTCCTTGCTTAAGGTAACAAATAATATATATATATTTTTAATTTTTTTATTTGACAGAGAGAGAGCACAAGCAGGGGGAGCAGCAGAAGGAGAGGGAGAAGCAAGCTCCCTGCCCAGCAAGGAGCCTGATGTGGGACTCGATCCCAGGACCCTGAGATCATGACCTGGGCCGAAGGCAGACGCTTAACCTACTGAGCCACCCAGGTGTCCCAAGGTAACAAATAATATTAAAACATGTTGTGGCTCAGAGAATTTGTATGTCTTTAAAAGAGGGGTGGTGATAGAAATAACTTTATATTTTTCTGATCGGTGTTACAGAGAATAGTGAGAGGAGAATAACAAACTGCACAAACAAAGTACAATCGAAATAATTTTAAGGGTAATAAGATTGAAATACTATTATTATCTATAATAATAAAGTACCTCTTTTCTTACATGGAAACGGAATTGATAACGTACTTTCAACACACAGGAAATATAAATAACCTAAAAATCAGGTGTATGAATCAAATGGAGTAATAATACTTTTCATTTATGAAGCATTCACTTGTCTATTATTACTATTTCTTCACGTAGAATGGTGTGCATAGAAAGTGTTTCTATGGGTAGAATCCCATATGAATCCCATCCCTTATGTTGTTATAAGATAAGCAGCACAGTTATTTTGAATGTTCATTTAATAAAAGAGGAAACATACTCTAAGAGGGCAGATGACCTTGTTAGGCTGAGAAGGTGTTGATATCTTTTTATAATTTGATGGCAAAAGTACCTGTTTTAGATCTTTGTGAATAGATTTGTATTTTGCCCTTCCTCATTCTCTTTTTGTCACCCAAAATGTTAGCCTTATTCTTCATATATTCATGTTTCCAAATCCTACTTTACTATTCAAACTATTTTGATTAGAAGCAAGGGCGATGTTTAAAGTAGTTAGTGATAAGAATGATGTGGGCAACAACTCATCGAAATGGTTGCTAGAAGAGCACCAATTATCAGGATGTTCCATAGACAAATGCCACAGCCATGTAGGTATGTTTTAGCTAAATATCAACCTTGTGACAGAAAACCCAACTTAAACTATTTCAAGAACTTCTGGGTAATTTTTTGACACACATCTGGACTGTCCAAAGGTGGACTGTTTTTAGACAAAAGAAGATCCAGGAGCTCAGATGATGTTGTCTCTATCTCTTCATTCTGCTTTTTTCCATATTGATTCCATTTTTTAGAAGGGCTGTTACCTTGTGGTGCAAGATGACTTAAAATGGCTCCAGATTTACCTCCTATTTCCTCAGCAAAAATGAGTGTCTCTCTTTGGTTGCCTGGTAAAAGTCCGGGCACTAACTTTGAATGGGCTCTGACAAGTGTCCATTCTGTAGCCAAGGAGATGTGATATGGCAAGCACTGAGGAGGGCAGCCAGCTCCACCCAAACTATCGGACTAAGATTGGGGAAGGAGAGTTCGTGAAGAAAGACCAGGGCTGTCCCCAAAAGAAGGGGGAAAATTAATAGTCAGTGACAAACTGTAAATGTCCATTCCATTCTCTTTCCTTTGAGCCATCATACCACTTTATTACTTTAAATATTTTTCTAAATTATAAAGAAATTACTCTTATTTAGAAAACTCGAAAGTAAAATGTAAGAACAAAATCAAACGAAAATATAAAAATGACATGTTAATAAGTTAGAAGTGAAGAAAGAAAGTTGTAATGTCTGTAGTAGCATAATTCATTGCAAATAGTGAAGTGTAGAAGTGTTCGCTTACTATGACTTAAAATCAGCCAAACTGATTTTATTCTACTCCCTCTAGTATCTTTAATGTTTTCCTGTATAAACCAGATTGCAGCCACAGGTTTTAGTATGGCGTTGTACAATAAGACCAATCATAATAAGACCAAGAATTGGTTTTCATCATGTTACTAGAACTTAGTGTTGTTTTTAAAATAGAAGGTAGGGTAAAGTGTATAATTTATATTCTGAATTATCCAGTAAATATTAAGCTATATATATAAATACACATATCACATGCTTTATATAACAGATATGTTATAAATATGAAACAGAAGATAAGTTGTATACAAAAGAAAATTGGTTCCTAAAATTTCAGGATGTCATTAAAGTCTTTGGAAATTGTATTGCCACAATCATACGTGTCTTTGAAAAAACACTTTGAAAAAAAGCCAATATTGATCTGTATGCTAGTTCTATTGGCCTAATACTTAAAATTTTAAATTAGTGTTTTGGGGGGCACCTGGGTGGCTCAGTTGGTTGAGCATCTGACTCTTCCTCTCAGCTCAGGTCTTGATCTGAGCCCCACATTAGACTCCATGCTGGGCATGGAGCCTACTTAAAAAAAAATTGGTGTTTTTGGGCTTTAACTCAAATGAATGACCCTTTTGATGGAGTCTTGAGTCAAAAAGAACAGCCATGACTGAGCAAGAACTTTATCTTTGACAATCCCCTACAGCACTGTCCAATAGAAATGTAATAAAATCCACAAATATGAACTACATATATTGTTTAAAGTTTTCTACTAACCACATTAAAAAGAAACAAGTGAAATTAATTGTGATAATATATTTTATTTAACCCAGTGTGTCCAAAGTTGATCTATCATTTCACCATTTAATCAATATAAAACATTTTAATGGCATATTTTACATTCTTTTTTTCATATTAATTTTTAAAAATCCAGTGTGGATTTTATATTTACAGCACATCTTAATTTGGGCTAACTGCATTTCAAGTGCTCAATAGCTACATGTGCTTCACAGATCTAGTAGATCTGTGGCTACTCTAGGCTAGGCCAGAGTTAACTCAGTAAGGCAAGACGATAATGATGATGATGATACTATTAAGACCTAAAGTCCTTGTGCATTCCTTGACAATTTCAGTCCTCAGCCTGACTATCTAGAATTGGATCGACTATATGAGATTTGAGACTATCTGTTGAGGTTGTGTAAGCAGGCTACAGGAAATTTTGGCTTTACTATAAGTTATTATCATGTATGTTACTTATACTGAACTTAACACATAACTTATATTTGTAAATATCAGGTACCCAACATTGTTTAGCTCAACATCCCTACCCTTAATCTCAAAGCATAATGATCTAAAGTGGAAACAGTTACTCACAACACACCCAATAGTGGAAAGGGAAACTTCAAGGTCTTGGAAACACAGCAATATGCTTCAAAGTGATTAGCACGGTGTTGTTTTCCTGGTATAATGGCACCTTATACGCATTGTAATCAATAAAGGTACATTGGAGAAAGACCTCTACATCTTGGCTTACTTTAAATGGCCTCTTTAACTCTTTTTTTATTCAGGGCATAAAAAAGGAATTTTAGTATAAATCAATACCCAAAAGTTGTGGCAAGAAATAAGCTTGGTCCTGCATCACAGCAAATTGAGAGGTATAGGGAAGGTATGATAGAGATACATGGTGGTTTTATGTTTTTTAAGAAATAAATCTAAAGTAGTTAGGTGGATCACTTACTTAAGTAAATTTATTGGGTTGAACTTTATTTTATTTTATTTTTTTTAAGATTTTTATTATTTATTTGACAGAGCACAAGCAGAGGGAGAGAGCGAGAGAGAAGCAGGCTCCCTGCTGAGCAAGGAGCCCGATGCGGGACTTGATCCCAGGACCCTGGGATCATGACCCGGGCCGAAGGCAGCCGCTTAACCAACTGAGCCACCCAGGCGTCCCTATTGGGTTGAACTTTAAATATGTTAAATGGAAAGACTAAATGGGACAGGCCTATATTTTAAACTAATGCACCTGATCAATAGGTACCAAGTAACTCTTCAACCTGACTATATTTGTAATGACTACATGTTCCACATTTACCAAAATGGTTTCTGTTCAACTATTCCTGTTCCTCATTTTTGTTTTATACCTCATTTTTGGCTTATATCCATTTCTTTCTCAAAAATAAACAAACAATACAGTTCAAACTTTGGGAGAAGTTTCCAGGCCAGATCCAGTGGTCATGAAATTTTCCCACATAAGGTAGAATTTGGAACCAAAAAAAAATTGCTGATATTCAACATCATTTTTTTCTCCAAATTATCACCATGCTTGCTTACCAGGCTCTGGTATAGATTTAGATTGTTCTTCCTTAACCACAAGAGAGTGCATTGACATCATTTCTGAGTTGGGAAAGGCACATCACAAGTGTTGCAGGAGACATGTGTGTGTTAGCATATATTATGAATATTTGCCAGGCTCCTTGAGGAAAATATTTATGACAGAAATTAGGAATGCTGGATATTGTGTTGACTCATATATATTAATTAAATATCAATAGACATAGAGATTCGTTGTCTTATAATTCGGGGCACTTTTTGAATGAGAGGTTGAAAAACAAGAATCCTCATCAATTATGGAAAATTATCCCTCAAAAGTAAATACTGCCTCTTTGCAAATCTCTTTATTTTTTCCACCTGGAATTCCAATGGTACAGACTTGAACCTTTTTCTCTCTATGGCTTTTGTCCTCTTTTTAATGTGTGTTGGTGCTGCATTCTGGATGATTTCATCAGTTCTATCTTCCAGTCTACTAATTCTTTTATTTCTTTTATTTTAGCTCTGCTTAATCTACTGTGTAACCCATACAGTTTAAAAATAAACATTTGTGAAGGCCCTGGGTCTTTTATATGATATCTTGTTCTTTTGAAGGAAACATGAAATATACATACATAGGAGTGTATAACTTATTAATCATAATGAATGTCTTTTTCAGGGAGTTTCTTTTGGGTGCTTCTTTTCAATTTTTTATTTTTTGTTTACTTCCTTGTATTTAGAAATTATATGTCCTCTGGCTAATCACTTAGTGGTTAACACACACATTTAATTGTGGTAAAATCCTATTACATTCATCACTGTAATCATTTTAAAGTACAAGTCAGTGGGATTAATTACATTCACAATGTACAGCTGGCCCGCATTGCACACAATGTGCGATTGGAGCTGTATGGTTCCAGAAAGTTTTATCACCCCAAATGGAAACTTTGCACCCATTAAGCAGTCATTCCCAATTCCCTTCTCCCCACAAATCAACTTTCTGTCTCTATGGGTTAGTTTATTATGGACACTTCATGTAAATGAAATCATACAGTATGTGGTCCTTTATGTCTGGCTTGTCTCCTGAGTACCCTGGTTTCAAGGTGCATCCATGTTGTAGCATCTGTCAGTAACATGCACAGTAATTCTCTTTATGGCTGAATAATATTCTATGGAATGGATATCTCACACTTTGTTTATTCATTCATCTGGCAGTAGACATTTGAGCTGCTTTTACCTTATGACTATATTGTAAATAGAGCTACTATGAACATTCTTGTACAAGTTTTTGTTTGAACACCTGTATTTATTTATTTATTTATTTTTAAAGATTTTACATATTTATTTGATAGAGAGAGATACAGCGAGAGAGGGAGCACAAGCAGGGGGAGTGGGAGAGGGAGAAGCAGGCTTCCCGCTGAGCAGGGAGCCCGATGTGGGGCTCCATCCCAGGACCCTGGAATCATGACCTGAGCCGAAGGCAGACGCTTAATGACTGAGCCACCCAGGTGCCCCTGAACACCTATATTTAATTCTTTGGTGTATATACTTCTGAGAGAATTTACTGGGTTCTATGGTAATTCCATGCTTAACTTTTTGAGGAAGCACCAAATTATTTTCCACAGTGCTGTGCCATTTTACATGTTTACCAGCAATGCACAAGGATTCTAGTTTTTCCACAACCTTGCAAAAACTTGTTATCTTCCTTTTTCTTTTTGAAGTTTTATTTATTTCTTTGAGAGAGAGAGAGAGCATGGGGGGTGTGGGGGAAGGGGCAGAGGGAGAGAATCTTCAAGCAGACTCCCTGCTGAATAGTCCTATTGACTTTGTTGAAAATCAATTATAAAGCCCCTATTCTATCCCACTCCTCCCCAAAATTACACTCCCCAGCTTTTCCTTCTAGGTTTTTGCATGTCTTTTGTTTGTCCCAGGTTTTCTCCCCCCAGGCAGTAGCAACTTGCTCATTTTGTTCATTTTCATTGTTTTTGAGGACCACATAGCCACTCCACTCTGATAGAGTTCTGAGTTAGGCAAAACAAAGGGGAAATTCTTGCATCAGTCTTTGGGAGGAACTCCAGTCAGGTCAAAACAGAAACACAGTTCCTTGGGGACCAGACCCTTGCAGTTCTTCTGGTATCAGGTACCCACCCTGGCAATGCAGGTTGCTATCTTCAACAATGCCAATATGCTAGGAAGGAGGAGGGAGCTAAGAGTAGTTAAAATACCACAAAAATCTCTTATTTTATTTTAGAGGCTTTTCTGCTGGCTGAGGTCGTGCTTGGTTGCTATAGACCTTCAGCTATCTTCCAGAGTAGTGATTCTAACAGGGTTTGGTTGGGTTTTGTTTTGCCAAACTTTAGTGTTTGGGGGAGGGATGGCTCCTGGAGATCCCTACTCTGCCATATTTGCTTCTGTCACCCTCCCCTATATATTTTAACATGCATATTTAATTTAACAAAGTCTAAAAGTTTTCACCTTTCTTTCAAAAGTATAATATTTTAAAAATTCCTTCATTCTAACTGTCTCCTGTCAAACATATAGGCCATTTCCCCCATAATTTTAGTTCTTGGCTGCTTATATGTCTTCCATAATAATGATGATTATGATAATAGCAATGAGGATGACGATGACTATTGCTGTTTCATAAGGCAATGCTTCAAATTTTCTCTCTTATTTACCAACATAAATCCCCAGTATTCCATTGTAAATTATGAAGTCTCCAAATCTTCATTGTCCAATGTGGTAGCCACTGGCCACATATGGCTATGGAACACATGAAATGTGGCTAGTAGGACTGAGGAATTCAATATATGGTATCTGGCATTTTAATTCTTTCAATTAATGGATAGTTCAGTGTATTTTGTCTGTCATAATGTTAGAAAATAAAAGGAGCTTTTGTTCCTTTCTCATAGTTTTAGTTCCATCTTTTATTTCTCATATTTTTAACATAATTATTTTATAGTTTCTATCCACTAATTCTGATATCTGAATTTTTGACAGTCTAATTCTCTGTGTTGTGCTATTATTGTTTCTATTAACCCTTATTCATGGGATTCTTGTTTTCTTATGTGTTTTTTAAGTTTGGATTGTGAAGTCATCGTTAGTGGGGCTTCATATATGGGATGGTTGTGAGGGAGGCTTCATGTAAGATTATCTTCCTCTTTTAGATAGCTCAGCCATTTTCCAGTCTGGGACTATTTTAAGATTTGTTGGTTTGGGGTTTCTGGGACTATACATGTTGTATAAAATCAAATGCCAGGGGCACCTGGGTGGCTCAGATGGTTAAGTGTCTGCCTTCGGCTCAGGTCATGATCCCAGGGTCCTGGGATCGAGTCCCGCATCGGGCTCCCTGCTCCTTGGGAGCCTGCTTCTCCCTCTGCTTCTCTCTCTCTCTCTGTCTCTCATGAATAAATAAATAAAATCTTTAAAAAAAAAAATCAAATGCCAAACTCATATGAAGGCAGGCCTATAGTTATTAATTCTTTGACAGTCATCTTATACCCCTGTTCAGAGCTCAGGATGGGATTCATACATTTTCTTGCCTTCTCTTGCTGGTAGTAGGAAGTCTTGGTTTGTATCTTGTTTCCTTGAGGATATAGCCTTTCCACCTTTGTGCAGTGGTCCCAATTGCAAGTCCATCCTCGCTAGTCCCCAAGGCCTTGCTTGCTTCCTTAGCCTCTTGGTTTCAAGACCAGGAAAGGCTCCAAGATTAGCCATAGTTTTAGCATCAGACCATATTGCCACTCTGCTTTCCAGAAACCCGGTCACTGGGGCCTTCTGGTTCCCTTCTATTTCTCATTGTTGATTTGTTTTCTCTTTCTAAATTTATATTTGACAGAGATTTGTTTCATTACTTTGACCCAAGAATCAGTTCCTAGACTTTTTAAAAATTCCATTGTTTGGTTGTATTCTGACATTAAAACTTTATTTCTTTAATCCTACTTTTCATTGTTTTGTTTTTATTTTTGTTATTGTTCTTTGCTTTTCTTATTAATTAGTCCATACTTTTACTTGTAAACTTTCCCATGCATTCTGTTTTGGATGTTTTTTGTTGGCATATATTGGATATCTTCACCTAGTATGTATCATATAGCTTTAAGTAACAACCAGTAGAATTAAAATATGACATATACCTTTCAAATAACTAAAGATAAAATTAATTAAAACATAGTTTATGTTACAAGAGATTAAAAAAGTAAGCAAAAGGAATCATAAAACCTATTTTCATTAAAGGGGAAAAAAAAGGATTTGTTATCTACCGATGATAGAATAGGGAATGATTTGAATCTTTATTTAGTATAGAAGTTTAAATTACTTACATATAGTTATAACTGATAAATTTCATGCTTTTGGTTTTTTGTTTTTGCTGTTGCCTTGTTATTTATTTATTTATTTATTTATTTATTTATTATTTTTTTTATAAGATTTTTTATTTATTTTTTAGAGAGCAAGCGAGAGAGAAACAGCATGAGAGGGGAGAGGGTCAGAGGGAGAAGCAGGCTCCCCGCTGAGCCGGGAGCCCGAGGTGGGACTCGATCCCAGGACCCTGGGATCATGACCTGAGCCGAAGGCAGACGCTTAACCATCTGAGCCACCCAGGCGCCCCACCTTGTTATTTATTTTGTGTTCTGATTTTTGTTATTTAAACTAGTATGTATTTAGACTATATTTTGTGACCAAGACAAGAATATGAACATTTTTTTAGAAATACTCCTCTGTAAAAAATAAAGATTTTTACATAGCTAACTATATATTTGTTCAATATAATTAATTGTGTTATTCTTCTGTATGTTATTTTCTTTTTAAATATGTCAAAGACAGAAAAGGTATATTAAAGTCTCCCACAAAAGTTATATTTAGGGGCACCTGGGTGGCTCAGTCATTAAGCGTCTGCCTTCAGCTCAAGTCATGATCTCAGGGTCCTGGGATCGAGCCCCGCATTGGGCTCCCTGCTCGGCGGGAAGCCTGCTTCTCCCTCTCCCACTCCCCCTGCTTGTGTTCCCTCTCTTGCTGTGTCTCTCTCTTTCAAATAAATAAATAAAATCTTTTAAAAAATGATATTTAGTCTTTATCTCCTTGTTTTGCAACTAGTTTCTAGTGTGTGTGTGTGTATGTGTGTATTTGGGACCACACTGTGCAGTTTTTTTAAGGTTCATGATTTTATTTTATTAAATATTGTACCATTTGATTTTTAAATCTTGAATTATATAGTATTTTACCCTCCAAATATATTTAACCTATATTTAGCACCAATTATAAATATCAAAAGTAAGGTATCATCTTTTATATTTTCTTTATGTAAAATGAGGAACTTAACCCAACTTTCCCTGCTTTCATTCAATCAAAAAATACTTCTTGAATACCTATGATGATTCCCTAGGCACTGTTTAAATTGTGAAAAATAAGAATAAACATCCCTACCATCTTGGAGCTTAATTCTAGTGGAGAGAGACAGATAATAAACAATAAGTAAATGACCATATTTCATTGAATCAAAGAAGTACATTTTTTTTTTCACCATTTAAAATCTTTGAAATCAGGAAGCCTTTCGCAACTAATGATATATCATGGCCAATTGGCTATGCTTTTTTGGGTAGAATATTTAAAAAATGGTGAGCCTCATAATTAATGATGTCCTACATTGAATAAAATATTGTAGTATACCCAGTGGTGATAAATGCTATGGGGACAGAGAAGGTGGAGAAAGGGGATGGACATTTCTGGAGAAGTGTTGCCTTTTTAAGTGGGATGAT